AAACATTGATTAATAAACAATTAAATACCATAGGAATGGTCTATATAACAAATATTATAAGGAATAAATTATACATATATATATAAACAATTCTATGAACACAATTATGATAAAATGAAAATTATCCTGCAATATACCTAATAATATTATATTTTCAGATAAGATGTAATGATAAATATATACAAAAATATAATTTTTTTTATAATATTATGGGATATTAACATAATAAAAATAAAATAATGTATAATATCATTTACATACCATGTCCATATTTTTTATTTAATGCATATAAAAGCAAACTACAATATTAATAAAATTGAATCAATCATTATAACATAATTGTAAATCATGATCGTTGAAATTGATCAAAGCATTAATATAACAACAGGAAGGAAAAAATAGGGACGATAAAAATGAATACTTATTTCATATGTTAAATTATAAAAACAGAACCCTTAACGCTAAACACTAAGGCTGAACACTGAACCTCATAAAATATAATATGTATACATTAAATCTACCTATATTTTTACTAGTATTCTACAGTGTTATATAATAATGTATAATTTTTATCAGTTAAATTTTTGTATTCTTTTTCAAATGAGTCACTTATTTTAAGTGCTTCATTCCTTTTTTGCTAAAATCTCTTTAGCTTCATTACAATTGGTTATATGTAAGATCTATAATGAGTATACTGAAAATAAAGAAATAAACTTATATTTTTATGAATTTTGTATTCATATGATATTTAAATTGTATAACAGCTTGTTTTATAAATTGTAATATCATACAATTTGTATAAAATTAATATATTATTAACCTTATATATAATAAATGTAGTTATTGATATGAGAGTAATTACAAGGAATGAAGATAAAAAAGTCTTGCCTGCATATCTCCCATTATAGGAATATAGACTTTTAGGTATGCTTATGCATCCAGGCCATGTCTTCATTTTTGAGTTATATTCATCTTTAAATTTTTTCAAAACGTCATTGAAACTGTTGTTATTGCTATTTTGACTAATTAATATAAGCTTCTTATAATTTTTATAGAATTCAACATCAAAGTTACAATTATTAGGAGGATAATTTAAATATAAATTATCATCATACAAATTTTTTAATTTTTTGATAATGTAATATGTACTATCACTAATATCAACAAGGTGGCCATTGCATATATCAAATACATACTTACAATCATTTTCTACCTCCTTTTTCATTATTTCATAACATTTTTTTACCCAGAACAAGATGGATTACTTAATGTTAGATTATCCTTTAGGTTGTAACACAAATATTTACATGATGCTTTTATTTTATTAGATCCATTCTTTCTTATGTGTTCTAAATATTGGATAATATGTTGACAAGAAACAATAAATTTCTTATACGAATTTATTATTTTAACAATTATTTTTGTGCATGGTTCTTTATGTTTAGCATTACCCACTTCATCCTTTTGATAATATTGACCCTATTGATACTCTTAATCCTCATTATCCTCTATAATAGGATTTTTAGCACTATTATAATCTTCCATACATTTGGGAAAAATATCTTTAAAATTAAACTAAAAAATAAGTTCATTATGTGTGAAAAAAATTAAATCAATAAGATAATGTAAAATTTATGTACATCATGTTTATATATCATGGAAATTTAAAAGTATCAGATATAAACTATAGATATAATGGCAAATAAAAACGTATATCCTTGTCTACAGTTATAGAATTACGCATATTACCAAATGATTATTAATTAATATAATATAAAATTATTTTTTTTTTAATAATTTATAAACAATTACATGATAAACGTATCAAAACCAATGCTATATAGAAATAATATAAGTTATTTATTGTAACTATTAAATTTTCACAATTTCTTGAAATAACGGTTCATATTAAGCATTTATTTATATTAAAGTATGGAACTATTATGCACTGAATGGTGTAACTCTACATATAAATAATATGAAAAAAAGTTTTTAAATGTCTTATATAACAATATTAAAGCATAATCATTACTTATGAATTATATTGTATATATGAAATACATATAATATATTAGTTATCCGCCATAATAATTTATTTAAAATGTATGCACTCATGCTATCAATAATTTCTCCTAATTTATTTAATATGCATTTTTTATTTGCTTTTAAATATTAGAATTAATGCATATATTTATAAAATATAAAGCATTATTATTATAAAGAATATATACTTTAATATGAGAATGCATTTGAAATTCCCTAATATTATATTATGACATTTTATTTAATATGTATAAAAATGATTTATGCCTTTGATTAGATAAAAGGAAATTAAAACTCCCATGTTACTCTTTATAATATCTGTTATGAATTCAACATTTTAAGGATTCGATATAATTAAATATTTAAAATATTTAAAAAAGTACTTTTAATTATTAAAATATTACTTTTAATTATAAACATACTGGAATCAGAAGATCCTAAAATATATGTAGACATTATAATGTCTTAGATATATAAGTAAAAATTTAAAACGTATTATGGTAATGTATTACATGAAAATATACATTCTTATAATATCTATGGAAGAAAATTATATTAAATAGTTATGTAAATATTATAAATAAGTTAACTCTTTATTATAGTACAAATTACTTAACTATTACAAAATTAATATTTTAATTAAAATATGGAATTATATTACAAAAATATGTAAATAAACTATCTTTTCTTTCATTGAAAAGATTAATAAAATTTATATTAAGCTCAACACAACATAGAGCGAAAAAAAATAATAATTATTATATAATTTCTTGAAATACACATAAAACATTCTGAAATGGTGTCACACAATAACTATATATTTAAATGAAACCTTATATTTTAATAGCACTGATTAAAAGTTGCTATAAGTTTCGTCAAAATATATATGAAGTTAAAAAAGACATATAAATACCTTTGACATTATTTATGATTAGTTACCTTTATGTATAAAGATTATAATGTATTTTTTGTTATTAACAACTATTATATAAATAAAAATAAATGTAAGGATTATTCATATATATCTAAGTATATTTAGTTCAATTTATATATAATAATAATATATGAAATCATGATAGATTATAAAAAAATATATATAAATAAAAAGTCTTTAAAGAATATTACGATAATATATATAAGTCAATAATAGTTATTAAATAAGGAATTAAAAATTAATAGCATCAAATATTATATTGAAATATGAACGAATCATTTACATAATTCATTATATTGATAATAAATTTAATATAAATTAATTTATAATGAAATCATAACAGAAGTATAAATCCAAAAAAAATTATAATTAAATTATAAAGCAACATACCTATAGATAATATGAAATGTTTGAACATTTAACTCTTAAACCCGAAGCCTCAAATTTAATGTATGAAATTTTAAAAAATAAATAATTAACTATAAACCATGTATGTAAAGCCTAAACCTTGATAAATGATAATATGATGTTATCATATTTCATAATGAGTTAATTTGTTACTTCATTATGCGATCGATTTTATCTAATAGTCATAATTATCACAAAATTTTGAAAATTCTACTACATTTTTCCCTATTATTATAAATATTGTGGGAGGTAACTTAAATAATGCATGAACCCTTAAAACTAAATTTATTTATAAAATAAATATTATAAGGCATATAACATGAAAATATCATTTAAAAAAATTTAATGACTTTTTATCATTATGATATATGTATCATAAAAGAATCAGGAAATGTTAATGCATCTTATTAAAGTTACTTTTTATTTTTATATTAAATATGAGCGAAACATTTATTATAATATATTACTTTCTCATTAATTAACTAAATATTACAATGTATAACAAAATATTATTGTTGAAATAATTTTCTTTTCATATGCATATAGAACACAAATTCAATTTTATAACGATAAATTCATGTGATATATTAAATAATTAATATGTTAAAATAGTTATAGACATAAATTACAAAATAATAAAATATTTTCATCAAATGGATATATAAACTATTTTATACTTTCTTAAATAAAACGCATGTGGTGTTCTTTTCATAAGGAGTGTATTCTTTTATAACATTAACAAATACAATTCTATTGAAATAATAAAAAATGAAAAAAAAAATATTATAAAGAAAAAAAATTCAACGTATTAAAAATTGTGTAATTTATATCTCATGCTATAATTATTTTACTTAAATTTTATGCTATTTCTAATGTTAACAATGAATATAATATAAGAATGGTTATTGAATGCTCACAATATATAAAATTGGTAATGACAGTTTATGTATTACATATATATAGGGTTATCTTAAGTCATCAGGTATATTCCTCGTTTACGCAATGTTTCAAACTTTAATATATATATATGTTGTATAAAATGAAAATATATTTATAATTATAAATTGAAGTATTTAATAAGACAAGATTAAAAAGAATATATATTTTATTATATTCTCTATGTTAAAGTTATATTATAATCATTTAAATTGCTAAAATTATTTTTAATTAGCAGATAACATATATAATATATAAGAAAAAGGGAATTACTAATTCATTAACCTTAAATCCTAACAGTATAACTTTTGTATTATGATTTAACAATAAATATGATTTTTCTTCTTAAAAAATGCTTTACATTTTATATTTTTAATTTTAAATAATTATAAGAATGTAATATTTTTTGTAAAATATAATTACAATAACATTTTAGGCAGTATATATATATGTTCAAATGAGTATATATACTTTTTATATGAATTGTCTAGTTATTATAAAGAATAGCATAATATTTATTCATATTTTATGTTTTAATTTTTAAAAATTGATATATTAATGTTTTTAAATATCATTATTTAATTAATTTGTAAATTCATATAAAGATTTTAAGATGTGGGTATGTAACGTATTTTTGAATTATTAAAATATAAATTACAATAATATAATAATTGTATAAACGTTTTTTCGCATATATTTTATAACTTCATTAAGAAGAATATAATGTTTTTTAATCTCTGATTAATTTCTTATTTTTAGGATGAATCTATACATTTATTATTTCCTAAATGTGAAGAAGTTTTAGGTCATATAAAAATAAGGCACGCACATAGCTTATATAATGATAAATGTAATAAATTTGGTGATAAGTATTCAGACATTTTTAACTCCAATATTAAAGATATATGCTGTCAATCCTTGTATTATTTAAATAAAGTATATAATGAAAGAATTGATGATTCATTAGACAAAGCAGGTTTTAAATACTTGTATTATTGGTTATATAAGTATAAGCTAAAATTGGGGGGAAAAAGCACAGATATTAAAAAATTTTATGAGGAATTAATGAATATATTTAAACAAAATAACATGAATATATCATACATAACGGATTATCAAAGTGTCACTGAAGAGGAAATCGAAAATCTCAAAAATTTATATGATATGCATAACAGCTTCATTTTCATAAAAGAAAAATGTAATCCTAATGAAAATGTGAGTTATTGCACTAAAATATTAGATATTATGAATAAATATAAACCACAAAATATAATGGAGCATGATGAAACTTGTACAGGAAAAGAATTGCATAATTGTAAAAATAACATTGTAGAAGCCATTATAATACCAATTTTTATAATATTAGTAATA